CAACTTGCCCACTCTAGCCACTTAATCTGGGTGACATCACATGCTACACTTGCATTGAATTCCGCTCCCTCTACCTTAACCTGCTTTATTAACATAAATTATGCGTATTCAGAATGTTAAAATGACACATAGTTGACTACCTCGACAAACTTTAATCACTGTGGTGACTGTTTGATATTAGCGGCCAACTTGAATACTTAAAAGAACTTTGGGACCCTTTTACTAACTTCTAAACTGTCAGGACCAAATTAAACATAGCATAAAAATGGAGGCCGATTAAATTGAGCCAAATTTATTGTTAAATGTTCATTTTCTATCATATTGATTATACAATTGATTGAAGATTATCTGAATGGCACAAAGTTCAAACAAACGTAAATTTGCTTAGTTACTAAATTTAGTTTTATAAATTTGTCAGGTTCCCATTACAGTTCACTTTGATCATGGAACTTCGAGGCAAGAACTTGTGGAAGCTCTTGAGCTGGTAATTATTCTTCCGACGTCTCACTTTATTAAATATGATTTATCATGAATCAGTAGTTAGAAATTGCACCTTATTATCTTCATTTTGGACTCCAAGTTGAACTCGAGTTGTCAATGCAACATCCAGGGATTCGACTCTGTAATGGTTGATGGGTCACATCTTTCCTTTGAAGAAAATGTGGCATATACTAAATTTATTTCATTCTTGGCCCACTCAAATGATATGTTGGTTGAAGCTGAGCTAGGAAGGTTATCAGGGACAGAAGATGATTTAACCGTTGAAGAATATGAAGCCAGGTTTACAGATGTTGATAAGGTTGCCATCTACTCTCTGGTAGAAATTATCCTTCCGTATTTCCTTGATATTGACAAATTCATTGCACTTTATATCCTTGATATCAGGCGCAAAAATTCATTGATGAGACTGGCATAGATGCTTTGGCTGTATGTATTGGAAATGTACATGGAAAGTATCCTGCAAGTGGTCCAAATCTCAGATTTGATTTGCTCAAGGTGATGAGCTTTTTCATTCCTACTTTGCATAAACTCAGTATCTGGGTAAAAAGTAAAAGCCATAGCTTAACTTTCGAGCAATGAATTTTGATTGTTTCCAAAGAACAAGTTTAGATAAATAAATTTAAAATAAATGACATTATGCGATCTCTGTAATCAACCCCACTTGTTTAGTAAGATAAGGCTTCTTCTTCTTTCCACTGTATAAGTTAAAATAAATAAATTTAAAATTTCAAAGAGCACAAATTTGTATTTCATACCTTGGTTCGTGGTTGTCTAAAATGTTAGAAAAAATTACTCTAATTCTTATATATGGTTTGTTCAACATGTCATTTGGATGTGGTTCTTGTCTACTCAATTATTCTGACACTTAACTATGTTAAGGAATTGCATGCTCTGAGCATTAAGAAAGGAGTTCTCCTGGTCCTTCACGGTGCCTCTGGCTTGTCCCAAGAACTAGTCAAGGTGCAGTTGCAAAACTTCCATCGACTTTTTTTATTTTATTTTTATATTACAGTTTTTGTCCACAAAAATATAGTTGCATTCAGCTCAAGTAAGTTTTGCAGTTTATATAGCTAACGTTGCAAGAGCTTCTTGGATTCTCACAGAAATGCATAGAGCTTGGCGTGAGAAAGTTCAACGTGAACACTGAAGTGAGAAAGGCATACATGGACTCCCTGAACACCCCACAGAAAGATCTTGTCCATGTTATGGAATCTGCAAAGGAAGCCATGAAAGCCGTGGTTGCAGAGAAGATGCATCTGTTTGGTTCAGCAGGAAAAGCTTGATTCCTTCCAATTTACAAGTGAGGATTATCCATGGATGTCGATTATACGACATCATCTAATTAGGAATATTGTTGATTCATGATCAATTACTTCCTTCTTTAAAACAATCACTATGAGAGAGATCATCATGAGATACCAAGAAAGGAATATAATTATCAAAAAGTCCAAGTAAGCAGCATGAATTTTATTATTATTTCCTGCACTTGTCATTCACTTGTTATGGGACATTTTGGTAATTGCATTCTATCCTTGGGACCAATACTGATTTCCCCTTTTTTTGATAAATTTGATCCTCCAAAGTTAAAACTCTTCTGAAAATGGAGAGTGACAAAATGAGGATACAAGGGATTCATTTCTTCTCATTCCACCCACTCCCTCTTTTCTCTCTTTCCCTCTCTTATTCTAGAAACACCTCGCAGACTTGTAACTTTACAGAATTTAAAGTCGTTCTTTATTTTTTCCCCCCTTTCTTTCTTTCTTTCGTCGTTTGCTTTTGCTGCTAATTGCCCCGAGATTGTTGTTTGGTTCTGAAGGCACAACAACTGCTTATTTGGATTGCTCTGGTTAGTTTCTGAGCAACCAACTGAGGTTTATCAAGCCTAATCACTTGATAACGTAGCATTCTATAATTACTTCTGACAGTAAATAGTTTTACCAAGTTGAGGGTCATATTTAAACCGTAAAGCAATTTTTTCCCTTCTCATATTTCAGTTTTTTCTATTATAGTACTCGTCCATAACTTTCAATACTTGTTTGTCAATTTTCAGGCAGGATGCAAAAGCGAATTATGGAATTGCTCAACGGATTATATTTGACATTCTTTCTTCCTCACTCTGGGCTTGCTTCCGTACCTCATGCTTGCTCTGGAAATATTGCCATGTTTTGGGAAAGAAAAGGTGGGGGGAAATGATGTTGATGTTGTAATTTGCCAGTGGCCACGGTGGATTTCTGCAGTATAGGGATTTATTTATCTAATAACAATAAAATGTAACCGTGACAGTGTTCACAATCACGAGTGATTTTAACTTTCCTAAATATTTTAAGTTATTAATAAATAAATAAATGATTTTTGGTTAAAACCTTAACTCTTCTTTTAATTTGATTTTTATAGATAAAATTTTCCGATTCAGTTTTTAAGTTCTTTTTACCAAAGTAGTTCTTTCATTATAACATAACTAATGCTTTGGACTTGTTTGAACTCCTGAATTTGGAGTATATTCACTGGGTTCAACAACCAAACGATGACCTTCAAAAAATTATTGGAGTATTTGACCTCATATGAGTTAACAACCTTCTTTTTCTTCTTTCTTTCCCTTTGAAGGACTTTTCGCCCCTTCTAAACTTTGGGCAATCCTTCTTTTCTTTTCAAGGATCCTCTTACCCTTGTTTGTTTCGGGTTGTGGAGGATTTGCTTCTTCTTGTGAAGTAAAACTGTTTAGAGGATTTGTATGCTCTTAGAGATTCATCTTCAAGCTCCAAACTTTTTTTTATCCCCCTATAACCTAGAATATCTTCAAGTCATTTTAGGTTTGAAATTAACTAAGAGCATTAAAGTTAAAGTATTCTCAACAAATACGCTTTTCAGGATTTGAGCATGGATTTTTCTCCTTACGCAGTAAATCTGCCTACTATTGTAAGTCTCAACCAACAGCTTGTGGGCAAACACTAAATATTTGTTGAAGTAACAATGATTTCACTATGGAATTGGGCTTTGTTCTCCCCCTGGGCCCGTGCTAAGCATAGGTGTTCTTAATATTGGGAAAATGAACGGGGTTAACCCATTTATACCCTCATGTCAAAAAGCAGCCGTATTGCAAAACCCAGCCCTTATAGTAACAGGCTTGGATTGGTAGGCTTTTAGGCCCGTTTAATTTTTTTTTTAATATTTTGATATGGATAGAAGTAAAAAAATAAATTTTATAAAATTCATGCATTAAGCCATTAATATTAATAAATCAAAATGTTAAATGGTTGTCCAAAATTTTCAAAACTAAACAAAATCAAATTATTATCTTAAACATTGATAAACTATTGTCCAAAATTGAATAAATCGTACAAAGCACAAATTAAACACAAACAACAGCAACATCATCAACATGATTTCCATCACTATATTCAATATCAACAATATTTGATTGTAGCTCACTATGAGTAGGCTCTTTTTAGTGGAAAAAATATCAATGTTTTCTTCTTCAAATAAATTTTATTTTCAATGTTTAATGTTTTGCTTCTGTTTCGTTGTGCGTTTTTAATTTCCCTGTTTATTAAAAAAAAGAATTAATTTTTTGTCTTCCTTCTGGGAGGAATTTTTTCTATCTGAGTGGGTAAAATATAAATAGAAGATTCTAGCAACAAAGAAAATAGATAATATGATTAATATTTTATTATGCTATTCTTCAGAGGTAAAAAATCCAATCTCCTTGAATGGGTATTTGTATGAAAATATTTTTTAAAAAATATTTTAAATTATCTTATTAAAAATATAGAATGGTAGAATTGATGTGTGTGGAATTAATAAGTAATAAGTACTCACTTACTTTATAAAATATATAGATGTATTATTAATGAGTAATAAGTAATTGTGGCATTTGCTTATTTAATAAGGGTAATTTAGGGAAAAAATGATAAATATGAGGAATAGATTCTATACTTAGGACCAAAATTAACCTTCTAATTAGGTCATATATTAAGGATCGGAGAAGTACTTTATATAATATTCCTTGCAAAATTTAATGAAACATTAATAACGCATTTTTAAAAGTATTCTTATTTCTTTCACTCTTAATGTAAATAGTAATTTTAGTTGGATTAATGGTGACTTTGAAAATTAAAAAAATGAATATATAAATAACTTCAACTAATTTTTTTTATTTTAAACAGAAGGTTCTCATTAATTCAGGACTTAATTGGTGATAGATAGTTCAAAGGCAGACCAAATGATAGATACCCAATCATATGTGCTGAAACTATTTATTTTTAAGTAGATTTGAAATTTAGTAAAAAAAAAAGCATTAATAACAAAAAAAACCCCAATTATATAACCACGTAAGTGCGCTAATTTTTCATGTATTAATTTTTGTCTAACATTGTTAAAATGGGGCACAAAATGCTGACCTGGCTAATTACTATTGGCCAGGTGAACGTGGAATACGTGGCATGGCCATAACAGTTAACATCTCCAGAACTTCTTACAGTGCAGTCATAGCAAATTAGCAATAGATTCTCCGAAGCAAAATCTGTATTCGGCACCGATCTCACCTGAATTCTCATACCGACGATGCGTCGACGGTCTCTCAGCTGCAAGTTCTTCCTCTGTGTCCTCATTTTCTCGCTCTACCCTCTTTCTCTCACCGCCCGCCGCTTTGTTCTTGTCCTCTCTCAGGATGACCTCAGGGACGGTCCCGCCTCCGCTGACGAACCGCCCACCGATCCCGACACGGTGTCGGAGTGGGACGAGTTTGGTGACTCCGACTCCCACAAGTCCGAGGAGGAGCTCGACCCGGGATCATGGCGCCCCATCTTCGAGTCGGATACGGCGACTATTGCTGAATCAGGCATCGAGAGTGAGGCGCTGTACTACTCCGGCCTTCGCAAAATGATGTCGGCGGTTAGCTCGGGTGATGTGAGTTTAATGGAGGATTCCTTTGGGGAGATCGAGGCGGCTGAAAAATTGGGGAACCCAGCGGCGCAGTCTGTGCTCGGTTTTTTGTACGGGATGGGCCTTATGAGAGAGAAGAACAAAGCAAAGGCGTTTCTCTATCATCACTTTGCTGCGGAGGGTGGTAATATGCAGTCTAAGATGGCCCTGGCTTATATTTACAGGCGTCAAGATGTGAGGAATCACTTGCTCTTGCGCTGCGTTTGTTTATTCTTTTTAATCGTGAATTCCTATTTGTTGACAACCTGTAGATTCGTCAGTGCACGTCATTCTGTTTTTGGTAGATGAGAGAATTAACTTGATCGTATTGGCATTATCTAGGCTGAAGTTCTCAGATCTTATTAGCGAAAAATCTGTAAACTCTATTTTCTTGTCCGAAGCAGTTCTGGCATTTGGCTTGTTCCCTTTGGCAGAATGGAAACTGGTAAATGGTGGTTATAATATGGTGGATTAGTTTGAAAACAGTTCTCTTTTGGTTAGTGTTGCAGTGAAATCTAAAAAGTGAAAGAAAGATACAAATTGTGTTCCAGTCGTAGAATTATGGTTCTGGAATCATCTTTCTAGGATTCTTCAGTTGGCTATGGATCATGTGAGCATGGTCCATTATTGGCGAGGGAGAGGGGATGCACTGAGACCAATATCTTTTCAAGACAATAATGTCTATTATATTTTGGTTATTATCATTCAACATTGTCCCTTTTTATTAATCTTTTAATCTGATAGACAAGTCATCTTTCCTCACATTCCCTTTCCTTTCCCTTGAAGATTTTACAGCCAATCATAACCAACAACTATAACGAGAAGCTCTTTGATCTGTGTTGTTTGTCACGCTCGTTTTATTTGATGAATTATTGTGCTTTCTGTAATCACAGATGTATGAGCAAGCAGTAAAGCTTTATGCTGAATTGGCAGAAGTTGCTGTAAATAGCTTTTTAATTTCAAAAGATTCCCCGGTCATTGAACCAGTTAGGCTCCATAATGGAGCTGAGGAGAATAAAGATGCTCTGAGAAAATCCAGAGGTGAGGAGGATGAAGACTTTCAGATACTGGAATATCAAGCACAGAAAGGAAATGCTGGAGCAATGTACAAAGTTGGGCTGTTTTACTATTTTGGGTTGCGAGGATTAAGGCGTGATCATGCCAAGGCCTTATCTTGGTTCTTGAAGGCTGTGGACAAGGGGGAACCAAGGTCAATGGAACTTCTTGGAGAGATATATGCCAGGGGAGCAGGTGTTGAAAGGAACTACACTAAAGCTCTGGAATGGCTTACACTTGCATCAAAACAGCAACTATATTCTGCTTATAATGGGATGGGGTATTTGTACGTAAAAGGATATGGGGTGGATAAGAAGAATTACACAAAAGTAAGCGTACAGTTTCTCTCTTTGCATACTTGAACTGTAGACTTAACATTTATTTGTCTTGCTGTGCTTAAATTGCATGATTTGTACCCACGTTTGCATGATTTGTACCCACGTTTTCCATTTCCTATCTATTAGATTTGTTGATTCTTTTTCGTTCTTATTGAGAAGCACTTCTTTCTCTTTCTCTCCTACCCACATTCTTGTAAGCTGTCAATATAAATTTGACGTTGAGATCCCTCCATTGATTGTTCTATTTGGTTTGAAACTTGCAAGCCATGGGAAGTCCATTCTGTTTGGTAAGTTTGGTTTCATTTAAAAGTGCAATATTTATGGTATTCTAATATTGAATTTAATATAATTCTCTTGCATAAGTATTGGCTATTGAGGCTAAACATGGCATGCGTAGAGTGTTTTTTATTCAGCGTCTAGTGAAGGGGAGAACTATAGGATGACATCTTCCCTGAGACATGTTCTTGTATCATTGGTGTTGTGTTCTAAGCATTTTATCACATCTTTGTGTGTTGTGGTTAATTTGACAATATTTTGTCGCTCATGTGAATAGGCAAAAGAGTATTTTGAAAAGGCCGCTGATAATGAAGAGGTTGGTGGACACTATAACCTGGGTGTCATGTATCTCAAAGGTATTGGTGTAAAAAGAGATGTGAAATTGGCGTGTAAGTACTTTATAGTGGCTGCTAACAACGGTCAACCAAAGGCATTTTACCAGCTAGCGAAGATGTTCCATACTGGAGTTGGGCTCAAGAAAAATATTCCCATGGTAAATTCTTTATTTATCATGTATTTATGTAAATTCTGAGTAGTTTTCCTAGACGATACTTTCTTTACTCTCATTTTTAACTGTTTCACCATTCTTTGATCAGTTCATTTGTTAAACTGAATCGTCTCTTCCTTGAAATCAAGAGTACTCATCAATGTAGTAGATGACTAAAAACTAGTTAGAATTGTTGGGGATAACTTCATAAGATCCAAAAATCATTATAGCACCCTATTTTTCAGGGAATAGGTGTTTAGTCAGTTATGATTATAATGCTCTAGTGCTTGCTTTCAGTCATATTAATGTAGGACAAGGGGGAAGGGGGAAAGAAAGTGGGGGAATAGGAGAAATCGAGAGAGAGAGAGAGAGAATTGAGGCAGAACAGAGTAAAATGTTGGGAGAAAATAGAACAAATTGCTTGTGTTTATTCCTTAATGATGATCATATATGACCACGGCTAATAAATATACCTGCTAGTGTTAATAGTTTGAGATTTTCGGGTGTTAGGCCACTGCACTGTACAAACTAGTTGCAGAACGGGGTCCCTGGAGTTCTTTGTCTAGGTGGGCACTTGAATCATACTTGAAAGGTGATATTGGCAAGGCATTTATGCTGTATTCAAGAATGGCCGAGATGGGCTATGAGGTCGCACAGAGTAATGCTGCTTGGATTCTTGACAAATATGCGGAAAGTAGCATGTGCATGGGTGAATCTGGATTTTGTACAGATGCAGAAAGGCATCAACGTGCACATTCTCTGTGGTGGCAGGCCTCTGAGCAGGGTAATGAACATGCTGCTTTACTAATTGGAGATGCTTACTACTATGGTCGGGTATGTGATTTTGGGATGAAATAGGAATCCATGCTTTGACCAGTTAATTTATGCTGCTTACTCTCTTTAGTCTTTCTAATATATCTGTTGCATCTCTTTTCCTTCTCTCAGGGTACTGCCCGGGATTATGAACGGGCTGCTGAGGCATACATGCATGCCAAATCTCAATCTAATGCACAAGCCATGTTCAATCTGGGATATATGCATGAGCATGGCCTAGGACTTCCATTTGATCTTCATCTGGCCAAGCGGTACTATGATGAAGCTCTAGAGCATGATCCCGCGGCAAAGTTGCCCGTCACTCTCGCCCTTGCTAGTTTGTGGGTTCGGAAGAACTATGCTGACGGTTTCTTGGTAGGTCTTCTTTCTTTCTTTCTTTCTTTCTTTCTTTACTAAAAAAGAAAATATCTTGCTTACTGCATGCTTACGAGCTAATAGGGGGCGCTTGACGGATTTTTATGCAGAGTTTTCTTTCTTCGCCTTCTCAACTACCAAATTGTTATACTCATTAAATCATCCATCCTTGCATATTACGCACATTTTACTTGAAAAATGTTGAGAGTCACCTTTATTTGAAAAACAGATATCTACAAGTTTTGTTTTCTATTTAAAATGTGGAAATTTAAGTTCTACAACAACACGCAGAAATCAGACGAGAACCATTCACACTTAAGATCCTCACTGGTGCTTTTTGGTTCAATTAGGTGGATGTGATTGATTCACTGCCTGAAGTCTACCCGAAATTGGAAGCATGGGTGGAGAATGTGCTTTTAGAGGAGGGCAACGCTACAATTCTTACTCTCTTTGCTTGTCTACTAACGGTGTTGTACCTCCGTGAGAGGCAAAGGAGGCATGCTGCTGTTGCAGCTGGAGACATGGCTCAGCCACCTCACCCTCACGACCACGCCATGCCTGTTCCCAATTAACAGGCTGCTACTAGCCATTTCAAGGCTATTTTTGCTGGTGCTATTGCCTTGTACAGGGTCTCAAGTTTGTTCCATTCTCTTGGAACCAGTTTCTAGGCTAAAATGTACCATAGATCATAGAGATGCAGTTACATAGAAATTTAAACACGACTGATGCGCATCGCCAATGACACGTAACACTGGTCCTGTTTTTAAACAGCAAACGAAAAAAATGGGGTGCACGGTTCAAAGTTCTCTTTTGCTGCTCATTCAGCTCGCCAGGCTATCTCGTTGCTTGCAATTACCATTTGGCTCTTATTTTTGCGCTGCTACTACACACAACTATTTAATGAAGTAGCTAATGACATGTATAAAAGAACCATCTAATCCTATTCCCCAGCGACTGATATTACATCATATCTCAATCTGCGAACACTAAACTGGGTAGTCACTACAGCGCCAAAATGCCCAAAAATAAATTAAAAAAATTGAATGAGCAAAGCAGAACATAGAAAATTATCGCTGGAAATAAAAAGACGAACATAGAAAATTGTCGAAAATTTACGATACAATCCAATATATCCGATCCCCACCATGCATAAAAAAACTCCACAAGCTGTTTTTCCTCCATTTGTTCAGTACGAGTTGCAGCACGCAGGATCGAATGGCATCTGGAGGTGACATAGCTATGCCATAAGGCTATTGGCAACTCCATGACTTCTCAAGTGGGCCGTCTCCATTCATGGTCCTCGTCCTCAGCACTCGGTTGTTCAAGAGGGCGTTGATGATTGCACTTCAGGCAAGTCTTGTTTTTTTCCGAAGTTGAAGAAATCACATCTACAAAAAGCAATTTATGAAAAGAACCAAACAATTATCACCGTCTATTATTGCATAACGCGGAAATATAGGTGGAGATCTAGAGAAACACAAAGGTAAGAAGACCACAGACTGCACTCACTTGGGACAATTCCAATCCCCAATACGTCCCTGGGGCCTTGGCTCTGGACAACGCAGACACTTGGTATTGCTAGCAAAGTTCAAGAACCCGCAACTAGACACAGGAAAATAAATGAGAACAAGATTTAATTATTAGTGTATTCATCGACAGAACAAACTAAAGTTGATGAACACAAATTCATCGTAGAGTTATATACTAGGACATTCATTCATATACAGCAGAGGAACAACAGATGATATTGTGATAGCACGTGTTAAAAAGTGTATAATAGCATGTAATACGTAAGACTTAATAGTTGTGCCTAAATGACTAAAAATCAATCATCACTAGGGTTGCTGAAGAGCATTGGTCGCAAATAAAGATCAGAGACACATTCAAAAATAAACTAAATGGAATCAGAGAAAAGAAAACTAAGTAAAGATAAACAAAACTCAGTTGAGAATATCATACGCTCGTAGGACCTGACCATCACAATCTCACCTCTTCCACATCATAGGACAACTATAAAATGGACAGAATAAATGGCATTGCAGCCTCAATAGAGCATATTATAACATTATAGAAATTGAATAATATGAGGTCAAGCATGATTGTGCCTGCTATAATTATTTATGGATGAATTTGCTGGAAGACAACTAGGAAAACTGAAGTATGAGGGAAATTAACTTTCAAACTAAGGTGATGCCTCCAAATAATAGTGCCGCAGGCAGCTATGGGACAAAACACAATACGTTCACAGTTATCAAATCGTGCTCAAATCATGAAGGACTAGAGTCAAGAACAAAGGAGAGGAGAGATGTGAGAAGATGCAAAGATATATGAGACTTTATTAATTTATTAATTCAAAAAAAAATTAGTAAGGATTTGTGTAGAGCCCCATAGGCC